CCCCCCTCCCCACTCACCCCCTTCGGAGGACAGCCAGCTGCTGCGGCTGGGCGAGCGGGTGAGGAGCTCGGCCCCGGGGCCCTGGTAGGCCAGGCTCCCACTGGCTGAGGACAGGGTGCTGTCCGAACCTAGCGAGGTGTTGGACTGGGTCAGGGAAGACTTCCGCAGCTTGTTGCGGAGGAAGAAGCCTTTGGCTTTGCCCATCTTGCTCAGGCTGCCCAGCTCGGGGTCCTCCAGGGCGCTGCTTGGGAGGATGGCAGAGGCGGATTCCAGATCAAACTTCTTCTTGCCCTTCATCTTGTCCTTGATCTTACTGAAGGGGGACCGAGGCTTGTCCTTCACGGACAGGTCAAACATGCTGGCGCTGAGGTTGTTGCGCGTGAACTGGATGGTGACCTGGATCTCTCCACGCTCCTTCTCCTTCTTGCCTGCCTTCGAGTGCAGCTTGTACCACCTGTGAGAAGGGGGTGCCGGGGCTCTGGTCACAGGTACCTCTCAGAGCCCCTCTCTGCTTCGGGAGCCAAGACAGCCTTCCCACACAGGCTTCTGCTCTGACACATAAGCTCTGCCGCCTTCCAGGCCACAGGAACAGCTAAGAAACTACCCACAACTTTTCCGTGATGAAGGAAACCACATCCCACGTAGGGGAAGCTCTTCGGCACTACCAGGCAGGGCAGCCAAGTGACCCTCCTGCCCCGGCACCTTCCCTGGAGCTCAGAGACCTCCCCTGTCCCAGCCCCCTACATCTGAAACTCTGAGGCCCAGAGCAGCAAGGCCGGGTCTGAGAGGAGCCCTTTCAACTCCAGGCCCCAGGTACAGACACACCTACCCACATTTTCCCATTTACATCATGTCCTTTGGCTAGTCCCAGCCTAAGCTCTGCTCCGAGCCACCAGTGAGTCCAGGAAAGAACAGCTCACCCAGAGGCCCAGGGCCAGGAACACTAGTGCATGTACACACACACACACACACACACACACACACACACACATACCTCACCCGCTCATTTACTCACCCCAAGCCCTGCCAGGAACACCTCTGCAAGCTGGAGGAACAGACAAGAAGGCATAAACGGGCCTTAAGCAAGAGGCCCAGGGAAGGGAAAGAGCACTCACTCATCTGTAAGCATCTACCGTGTGTGACAAAGGAATGCGGGGGTGCTCATCTCCCTTCCATTTACACCTCACAACAAACCTGGGATTTTACAGATCAGGAGGTCAAAGCTCTGTGGTAAAGTAACTTATCCAAGAACAAGCAGCCAGGAAGGAGACTCTAATTAATAATAATGTATTGCTATTGGCTCATCATTCATAACAAATGTACCACACTAATGTAAGAGGTTAATAATAGAGGAAACTAGAGCAGGAGGGGGTGTGAGGGAATATATACGGGAGCTCTCTGTACTTTCCACTTGTTTTTCTGTAAACCTAAAACTAAACTCTATTAATTAAAAAAAGAAGACACAGTGAGCACACAGAGAACACAAATGAGCAAGAGATCATGAAAGAAACAATACAAGAAAGTTCTCCTGAAGGACATGAGCACCAGCACAGAAGGGCCCACAAGCATGCAGCTCAGTGAACAAGGAAAGACCCAGCCAGCAGGTATCACTGCAAGGCTTCAGAGCACCAGGTTTATACATTCAGGAGACCCTGAAGGTTTCCAAAGAGGGGAGACAGGTTTGTACGTTCAGGAATTAGAAGAGCATCAGGTCCTCATTAGTAACACTGGGCACCATATGGACTCATGCCTTCAAAATTCTGAAGGAAAAGCTTCCAGCATAGAATTCTGGACTCAGCCAACCAAGCGTGAACGTGGAATAAAGCCCGGTGGAGGTGGTCAGATTGGTCACTGAAGGGGTCCAAGTCCCTCAGAGGATACACACACCACACCACACACAAACACTACACACTGTACCACACCCCACACGCCTCAGTCCATGCTGTGGTGGTCACCTCCCACCTAAGATCCGCTCACCCCACAACACCAGCTCCTTGAGCTTCTCACGGACATTAAGTGGGAGATCTTTTGTATGAAAGTCCCTGCACATCCAAATGTCCAGAAATAAGTCACTGCAAGGGCTTGGTGGTGGTGGTAGGTTTAAATGCTGTGACTTTAAAAAAAGAAAAGAAAAGGTCTTCCCAGAGACACTTCCAATTGCATCCCTTTGGAAGAGTCCACCATGACTAACCTCTTAGGTGTCCATTGCGGGCTATGCATCCAGCCTCTGCTTGGGGACCACTGGATGGCCTAAGTGAAGGGAGCCTGGGCTGTTGGTTTTCCCTCCCAAACCTGAGAGACCACTCCCACTAAGGCTGGGTCAGGACAGACGGTGGCACAAGCAGGGACGGCGGAGGGCTATGCTCAGAGGGTGTGTGGGTGTTTACGTGCCGCTCTCGTGATGAGCAGGCACAGGGAGGAAAGATGGGGGAGGAGGGGCAGGGAGCAGAGAAGAGAGCTGAGAGACAGACTGACGGGATGCGTGTGAGGATGTGTCTGGGGGCACGAGGAGACATTTAATAGAAAGACAAACCAGCTAGCATCAACATCCTCACACCCCTGCTTTCCCAACCCAGCGTCCACTTTGGGCCTGACCCCTTAACTCTTTCAAGGCCAAGTCACCTTGGCCAAACCTGGACCAGGCCTCATTTAGCACAGAAAGATTCTGGGAGGTGGGGCAAAGAGAAGTATATGGACTCCAGCTGCAGACCCACCAAGCCCTGAGCGACGGGAATCCGCAGGCACAGACATCCTTCACTTGGGCATAAGGGTCACGGGTCCTGAGCCCCAGCTGGTCACACTCCACACACCACAGCAGTAACGCTGGTTATCTCTGCGGGGTGAGGTTGCAGGGAACTATCACCTCCTGCATTGCCTATTTTTGTCCTGTTTGAATTTTTTATAAGAGCCATATATTACTGTCGTAATAGGAAAAAGAGACAAAAGAAAATTCCCGTTCCTATCTTATCCTCTCAGTTGGCTGAGACAGAATAGGCTCCTCGCCTCTCCCTCCGACCCCTCGATGAAAGAGGATGCATTACATTACTAGCCCAGCTGAGGCTCAGGTCCTCGGCCCAAAGGATCCTTGTCCCCCGCCCTTCCCAACCCCCTCCCCATAAGGTCACTTCTGCTTCCCCTGCTCTTCCCCAGGGAATTTGGGGTTCTTCTCTGGACTTGCTTTTCAGGGAGGCCAGGAGGGAAAAGAAGACTTTCCTCACCATTTTCTGAGATTCCCCCATCCAAAGCAGAGTGAGGCTGAGAATGGCTGGGACCTGCCTCTGGACCCTCAGTCACTGTTGCCATCTGTCTCCCTATCCGTCAGGGGCAGGATTCATTGGACCCTGCCAGCTACTTGGAGCAGGCCTTCTCCCAGAAGTGTGACAGGCCGAGATGGTGATGGCAAGGCCACACAACCAACAGCTTGTGGACAAAGGCCTGTCGCTCCCATCCGTGGCTGAGACCTGGCCAAAACCAATTAGGATTTGACCACGGCCCCAGCACATATCTAGATGGTGGCTCACGAGACAGACTCATCTTCAAAACTCTACAGCTGCGGCACCCGAACCTGCATGTATCAGTGCGGGATTTCTTTTTTATCTATTCATACTAAGATACAACCTAAAACCTACTGAATTAGAAAGGCCAGGCCTAGAAATCTACATTTCAAGGTGGAAGGGAGTACCTCCTCAGGTGACTGAATTCATCAGACCCAGTGTGAGAACCACAGTAGGACGGTCCCCTGCCTGCTCTACATCACTTCATGGATCAGAGGCCAACTTTCCCTCCACCTGGGTATATCATCAAGGACACTCAATTGTTACACAGAAGAAACCTGCGTCTCTCCCCTGCCCAGCCAAGGCTTGCCTTCCAAAGTCCACTGAACCCACTTCTTCCGAGAGAACTGACCCTAGAAACCCTCATCTCTCTCCCCCTCCCCCCAACCCGAGACAAATTATCAAAGGAACACACACATGGGGGAGGATCAGGCATCAATAAGTACTTTCTATGAATAAAGAGTGCTAAAATGAACAAGGCCTCTGTTCCACAAAGCTGCATTTGAAACAGCACTCACCAGGACAGGAAGAAGGACAGTGATTCTGCCCCAGTACAATTTCCCTGACACGCACTCAGCTCTCAAAGCCTAGATTCTTCAGCCCCTACAGAATGTAAAACAACAACCCGCACATCCTTCACTGCAGGTACTGAACTGTTCCACCTACATGGCACCCACCTCAACCCCTGCACTGTCTGAGCACCTGAATTCCGCAAAGCCCAGGAAGCGTGTGCTCAGGAAACAGGTTTTGACAAAGATAATCATTATCTGGGACTTGTCCCAGGTATGACTGCAGCCAAGACATGCTCCATCAGGAAAGGAGCAGTAAGGGAAAATTCCTTGCATGTAAGAGGTATGTGCCGCTACAGACGCTGCTCTTCAGGAGTGACATACAACAGCGCTTCTCAAACTGCAAAGTACAAAAGGATCGCTGAGTCTGGTAAAAATGCAGATTCTGATGCAATGGGTGCAGATGGGCCTGAGACGCTCCATTTCTACCCAGCTTCCAGGGGATGCCAGGGCTGCTGGCCTGTGGACCACACCTGAGAGGCAGGACAAATGACCGGTGCTATAGAATCAGCAGAGCTAGACTTACTGCACGCTCACTGTGTGCCAAACTCTGTACCTCTTTTACTATCCACACAGTCCAGGAGACGAGATCCATTATCCCCACTATGTGGATGAGGAAACTAAGTTACAGAGAAGGTTTGTGACTTGCCCAAGGTCAAACAGCTAGTAAGCGATACAGTCGGAACTAGAACATGAAGATGCCTGACTCCCAGCCCACGTTCTTAACCTTCGAGGGACAGCATTTGTCATCAAGCTGAATGCAAACGTTGGGCCTCCAGACACCCTGAAAGGACAGAGGCTGGAAAAGGTACACCACAGAGGCCCAAAGAGGCAAGGAGGTGGCGTATGAAGGCCAGAACCCCCTTCAAAGGGTTGGCACAATCCCAGGAGGATGGAGCCCTGAAAGGTCACTAAGGGAACCTCGGGGTTTTGTCCTGTCCCCAGGCCACTAAAACCATGTCTGAGAGCAGTCAAGCCTCCCCCAGCAGATGCAGAACCACAGAAAAGCTCTAAAAGGGCCCTTGCTCAGCCGCCGTACCTCCCCCAGGCTCCCTCTGCCTGACAAAGTTCAGCAGGCCCAGTGTGGACTTAGGAGCCCTCAGCCTCCTACCCTGCGGGACCAGCCCCACCCCCACCCTCTGCAGGGGCAGAAGACAAAGGGGGGATAAAGGGAGGAGGCAGTTGCCTCACCTGTTAACCAAGATTATGGCCCTAGTTATTCCTGCTAGTGGGGCTCCCAGGCCCACCATACCCAGCACTCCACCCATTTCTCAGTAAACAGAGCTGGGCTAGCTAACAGCTGCCACATAGTATAACTGAAAAATCTCAAC